TTCTGTACAACTTTTCTTTTTTGTTGACTAATTCCTTAGCTATTTACTTAATGATATCCACCTTGATACAACGTATTTCTTGAGAGTTTAAGTTCATTATCCTTATACCCCTAAAATCCAATAGAAAGCAATCATTCAAAAACATGTGTCCACTTAATTAACCAAGTTTGTGGTAAGAGAGTAGCTTGATATTTTTCTTTCCTGAAGATAAGGGCTATAGTAGATGTCTGTGAGTTCTATAGTAGTAGTTCTCAAGTTTTAGTGAGCATATTAATAACTGTGATGTTGCCCAGCCGGTCTGGCTCAGGGGTTGAGAGTTCCTATGAACCAGGAGGTCATAGTTCGATTCCCTGTGAGGGCACATATCTGAGTTGTGCTCGATCACCAGTAGGGGGCGTGCAGGAGATATAATATAATATAGGAGTTTAGGCACAAATACAGACACCATATGATACGCTAGAGGAAAAGATCTGCAAAGAGACCACGGCAGGAGAACTCATGGTGTGTGTTTATAATTAAAGAAGAGTAGTTGAAAAAGTAAGTTGCCAAGATTGGAGGCAAGGTAAATAGCTAAGATGTTTTTGTTGTGTACCTACAGTAAAAGGAAAATACTATTAGAAAGACACTGAATAGACAATAAATGCATAGAACTGATGATCTTATTAAAATGTTTATAAAGGGAAGGAGTAATGGTAGAAGATTAGACAATGGGAACCATCTGAAGAAATATGTCAGGGACAGTGAACCTACCACTGTTCCTTATAGACACACATTTAGAAAAAATTACTTTGCAAGAAGCAAGGTAGGTGATTAGGTCATGAGTTCGTATATTTATTCAGGCAAGAGATAATGAGAACTAGAACTGGGATCTTACCAGGAGAGAACAAATTTGGGAAACACATACTAGGCACCTACTTGGCTCCTGGGTTGTGAAAGAGAAGGAAAAGCTGTGAATGACTCAGAAGTTTAAGTCAATGTAACTGAATGGTGAGTCATGAATTCTATTTTTTGAGATGAGGAACAAAAGAAAAAGACAAGGGAAGAGATGTTGAGTTCAATTTTAAACAAAGTGAGGTGTTGGCATTTAACCTTGTGAAGATGTTGAGTAGGCAGTTAGAAAGGCAGGTATAGAACTCTGAAGAGTTTATTTATAATTATTAATTTTTTATAAATAAAAAATTATTGCTTATTACTTACTATGCCTATTTTTGTTTGTAATTATGGTACTGTTTATAATTAAAGTCATTTGCTTCCCAAAAAGAGCACTTAGCTATTCTCCAATTACTTAATGAAATGTATATCCTACTTGTCATCATTTTCTTTGGGGGTTGGGGGTGTAAAAACACACACAAAGGAATTTAGTGGCTAATATGCTATGTCAAAAATAAATAATTATTGTTATGTTGCTCCAGTATTTAAAAACATAGTCATCTTTAGTTGTTTTATTTTTAGCAGTGTGGATTTACATGATTTAGTTTTTACCAAAAAAAAAAAAAAAAAGAATTTTAATTTTGAGAAATACGAGATGGTGAATGTGGTCAAATATGGACTAAAGGTCAGCATAATATGAGCCAAAAAAAAGCATCCCCGGAATCTGGCAACAAACATACTAGTGGTCACCTTTGCAGAAAAGAATTTAGGGGAAAAGACCACTCAGCAGGAGCCTCCTATTACACCACTCAGCTTTAATTTAATCTACCCTCTCATTATGCCTTTAAAGCTCAGGGGAAATTTTTTCTTCATCATAATTAAGCTAATTCCCTCCATCTATAATGTGTATCCCAACACTCATATTTGGGGCAGCTCTCTCCTAATTAATATCTCCCTCTGGATTCCTTGCTCCCCCTCTCCCTGGACAACTCTGCCCTATCACAACCAGGAAAGCAGCAAACATCTCTCATTGGTTCTACTTGCTGGGATATAATATGTTGCCTTCCTTTAACAACAAGCTCCTGAAAAAATTAGTTTCTGCTGATTATGAGTAAACTCTCTTGTTAATTTCTATAAACTGGTTTCTACTTCCTCCACTCTACTGGAAATGCTCCCCTAAAGGGCACAGAAAAACAGATTTTTGTCAAATATAATGGGTTTTTCTCGGTCACCATGTCTCTTGGCCTTTCTGAGACATTGCTACTGCTGACTTTTCCACTTTTTCTCCAAAGCGTTCTGCTTTGGGATGCTGATACACTGTACTTCCTGATCTTCCAGGTGACACACTTTCCTTCTCCTCACCGGTTCTTTAACTTTCCCAAGAAGCTGCCCTTCATTTCCTTCTCTTCCCTTCCATGTTTCTTTTTCTTTAAAAAACAAAACAAAAAACAAACCTGCTTTTTTTGTTTTGTCCTTGGTTTCTATCCCAAACCTCTAAACTCATAGATATAAAACCTCGTCTGAGTATTCCAAGGGAGTGTTCTTCATTTCCAAGGTGTCTCTAGAATAGCTCTATGTGGATGCCCCATTAGCATCCACGCCACCGGTGCTCCCTTTGCAAGTTCTACATTTGATCCCCCGCTCCATTCTCTCATGCTTGAGACCTTGGAGTTGTGTCAATTTAATGCGATCAATGTCTATTCTTTTCCTGTGAAACAGGGTGACAATTACTAGAGCAGTAATAGCACAGTACAGAGAGGATGATGGTGCTTTTAAAACATACATTTATATTACTGAAAGAAGATATAACAAATTGATAATAGCATTTTTTATGACTTGCTAGGCTTTGTCATTGTTAAACACTCAATTCCTAATAATCCCACATTGAATATTAGTTATGACTATGAATAATCTTGAAAGTAAACAGAATTCACTTCCTCATTGTTTCCGCATTTACTGAATTGAACCAAATGGCAGGTATCAACTCTATTTCTTGTAACAACCCCACCTGATGAATATGATGATCTTCATTCAATAAATAAGAAACCTGAAGTTCAGAAATGTTAGTAATTTAAGGAAAGTCACATTCCTACATATAGCAAGGGGAGTCAAATGAATGTCTTTCTAGTCTAAAGCTAGCACTGCTTCCATCACTCTTTATAATGATCTCCCTGACTGAGTTGCTCTTATATATTCCTTAAATCCTTCATCTCCTTGAAGTTTTCACTGATTGCCACAGACTATAGAAATGGCTCCTCTCTAGAGTTCTAATATAATGGATTATCTTGCAGACATCTTTTAGTAGTTTATGTCTATGTCCTTGATTATACTCTCTTGGTTGGAAACAATCCCTTATAACTTGTTTGTAAATTTTGTAATACTAAGCACAATTCTAGACATATAGCAGTGATATTAGCATAATATATGTTTTCAATAAATTGTTGATTGATTATATCTTGTAATAAAATATTTTATTAATGCTGACTTTTCGCTGAGGAAGTTAAAGATAATTATAATCTCAAAATATACATAAATATTTAATGTAAACTAATAGTAGGAAATTTACAGCACATGTATCACTTTTTCCATTGTATACCAGCAGTAAAATAAAGCATACACAATGATATGCTTGCTGTAAGGAGCAACATAACACACTTTTTATCTGATCAGCAAACTTTTACTGAGCTCAGTAAGACTGCCAAGGATGGAGCAAGTTTTTCTGTAGTTTTCCCATTTCTGCAGATATATCTAAAGCTCAATTATAACTTTTGATGTAAAGCCTCAATATGTCATTTTATCTCTATCATGCATTATTTTACAGTTTAAAATTGCTGATTTTCCCATTTAGTTTTCATAAAATGCATGCTTTCAGATGATGTAAAGTCATTTAAAATGATTATTTACTAAAATAAAAAACACACAAACAATTTCCTTTGGTAAGTTGGCAGTACCTTGAAGAGAAGTGATGGTAATAATCTGGGTTAATATTTAACATATATATGGAAAGGTGAAATAAGAATCACTTAAATATAGGTTAAAATTTGCGGAAATGAGTATATGCAAATATTTTAAGACCAATATTAAGAATATCTACATGTATGTAATATCACTTTTACTGTATAGGAAGATAGAGATATAACTTTCTCTTACATATATAGATATAGACACATAAGTATCTTTATCCTATATAATAAAAGACCAATGACCATAATGATGTAACGACTGGAATGACTGATCGACCAGTCACCATGAGGTGCATTGACCACCTCTCGGTCCCTCCCCCCAGTCCACAGGCTCCGATTGCTGGATGGCCAACCAGGAACCACAGGGGGACCTGGGGTGGGTGGCGGCGGGGCAGAACTGGGGACTGGCGAGCGGGTGGATGATGGCCCTGATCGCAGGCTGGGCCTAGGGACCCTACCCGTGCATGATTTCATGTGCTGGGCCTCTAGTAAAGATATAAAATATTTGGAATAGGGTTAACCCTAGAAAGATTTCAATTAATTAAACATTTTCATAATATTTTTAGTCTTCTTTTTCTGCATTTTCCTATTTTTATGATGTTTCTTCTTCTAACTTTTAACACCTGTCTTCAGAGTACCCAGCTAATCTCTTTGACTTCCTCACAAAGCCTGTTTTTAGAAAATTGTTTAAAAAGTATTCCAATTATCAAAGGAATGAACAATAGGCAAGTTATTACCTTTCCAAAAAATCTGCATACTTAATTAATGGAAAAGAAATGGTTGAATCTTTTAGGTTAAACAATGGGAAACTACTGTTTTTGTGGTAAAAAACAGTTGAATACAGGGGTTTGATCAATTCTAAGTTTTAGGCATTTGCCATGATCTGGCTAGAGCCTCTGAAATTTACATTATCCCCAGTAGATAAATAAAGAACAGCATATGCTAAAAGTACCAGCACATTGATAAACTTACCCACAATCTATCAGCAGAAAACAGCATATATTTTAATTTTAGCCTACATGGCAGCTTATTGCTGATTAAATTTAAAATATATACAAGGGTACACCAGTATTTTTTCAATGTTTAAGGCTTATCAAAGCTTTACCCAGCCCTGATTATAAAACCAGCCTTGTTCCTAACCTTGTAAAGCTTACAAAGTGTCCTTACCTGCTTTTGATGGCTTTTCATCTTTTTTAGTTTCAGGTTCTAGGATAAAATATAACATACATACACACATACAAATAAACAAGGAAAAAATAAGCATTCTATAAAAATAGTACTAAGTAGTTTAATAAGTAGATTTCACAGATTTTTCTCATCTGTCCTAAATTTCAATTACATAGTTCCATCAATATAGAATGGAACATGAATTATTAGTAAATTATAAAGTAACTTAAGCAAAAGAGCTTTGATTTTAAAGTAGAGTTTCCCAAAAGTTTCAGACTAATCAAGTAATTTGGCATCTTGTCTTTAATAAGAGTCTGTTCCTTATGATGCATAAGTTATCTAAGTATTTCAATTAAGAAAACTAATAGGAACTACGCAGGAAAAAAGCGTAACTTTTCTTAATTTGATCATTTTTCTATTTTCAGCTGCACGCACTCAATTCATGGAGCTCCACCTGGCGGTTTATTTTATAATTTTAAACTGATATAATTGTTTCTATTAATATTTCTGTTATTATTAATTTTATAAAATAAATTAAATTGGCTTACATTGAATATGATGATATAAATATCAATAAAATGAAGTACTTTTATTGTTCTAAGAATGATTTTTATCTAGAAATTCTGCATTTTAACTTAATTTCAGTATAGGTTAAGTGCATACTTTTATAATATATCCAGATAATGCTCATGACTCCATCCCAACCACTGTGATAGCTGACTACATTTCCATGTTTTCTAATCCTTCCTCTTATTTCACAACTTGCCTGTGCCTTATAATTCTATTTTGACAAAAAAATGTTTTGATTAATGGAAGGGTTCTGGCACGTTATAATAGTTCTCCCCTTCAAATAGCAGAAAAACTGACCTCATGGTTGGGATATTTATTGAGTATAACCGTGTGTCAGGGATTTGGGTTTTAGCCGAATAGAGTCTCATTTTCTGGAGTTACAAAAAAAACCCCCACAACTCTGTAATTAGTTTAACTGCAGAATTTTATGTAATAGAGAATTACATAGCCATTCATACCCTACTTCCTTTAATACTTCAATGTGCACCCTGCAGAAGTGGCATTAGTGCTATTATTGCACTTCAATACTCCCTGGCACATATACCTCTTTTGTTTATATTGTATTATTTTATTTATCTTTTAAAATATATTTTCATTGATTTCAGAGAGGAAGGGAGAGGGAAAGAGAGTAGAAACATCAATGATGAGAGAGAATCATTGATCGGGTGCCTCCTGCACGCCCCACACTGGGGATCGAGCCCGCAGCCTGTGCATGTGCCCTGACATTTCATATGCAGAACTGACTTTTCTGCGCTGTTGACTTTTATCTGAAAAGTAAATTGCTGATGAGCCTCGGGAGGGTGCTTCATTAATGATAGTTCAATGTCATCAACACTCTGTTATCAAATACAACAGGCCGGCCCAAACTTCAGCATGCTTGTGCTTGAGTCAGAGAGGACTATTTAATATCCCTTCCCTTTTTAAACCGTGCCCATGTGTTTTTAAAACTTCATGCATTCTCTATGCTCCCCTTTTTCCTACTTGAGTTTCTAAATCAGTCTCATCTTTATTTATAAATTGAGGGATCCTTCCATGCATACTAAAGGAACAGGCTGATGGTGTTTTTATGTAATTAAGCAACCTCATCCAAATTAAAGAGGTGTGTTGTTTGTTTCTTTGTTTTTGCACTGCAGTTGGAGAAAAGCAGACACAAACCAACCCAACAAAATAGCCCTCAGTTCAAATTTTATTTCCTTTATTTTTTAAGCTAGATGTTCTAATGTGAGCCATTTGAAACTCTAAATTTCAATTTTCCACTTTATGACATGGGAAAAATGATGACTATCTAGTGTAGCTGTGGTTAATATTAGATTAAATAATTTCACAAGTAATTTCTGAACATTCATGTACTGATATATAAATAATCGATAGCCACTTATTGCATAAAAACCCGGCATGCCTGGTCGAAGGCAGTGTGGGGGGCTGCATCGCATTCCTCTTTCCCAGCTCTTTTTCCAAGTCCTGGGAGATTTGGGAAAATAGGGTTTTGTCTTGTTTACCTTTGGAGTCTTAGTACCTAAAATATCCACAGAATATCATGCCAACACTTAAACTCGTTATTGACACAAAACAATTTAAATTGTGGTTTCAAAATGCCAGGAAAATTAAATTTATAAGCTTTATGTTTAGGTGGTTTAGACCAAAACACCAGGTGAAATCCCTGTTCCATTAAGAGTAAAAGCTTACGCAGATGGAAAAGTGCATTAGAACTTACCCACCAGACATTCGACATTGCTGTACATCATCTTCAGATTTTTATATTTATTGGTGGGGCTATCAATATAACTTCAGATACAAATATCCAGAGTAGCTAGGTGAATTAACTAGTTTGTAGCCGGTTATTTTAAAGCGGAACCTAGAGTCTCTAGCTTCTGAGCTCAGTGCTTTTTCCATAACACATGTGCACATGAGCAAACACTCCCCACACGTGTGTTCTGTGTCTGCGTCTGTCTCTTTCTCTTCCCCTCTGATTCCCATTAGATCAACAAGGAAAAATAATTATGCTCTAGGTCTAGAAGCTTCTATAGCTGTAGTTCTAAAATGCCTTTGGTTTGTAATGCAAGAGCTTCATTTGTGACTTGGTGCTTTATGCCTACGTCCTGATTCTGCTTGGCGAGATTCCCGAAGGAGTTTGAGGCTCCCAAAGAAAGTCTGCTGAGTGGACAATAAAAACACCCAATGAGCCAGAGGGCATTCTCTCTTTGCAGCACAGAATAAATGCAGACATACATTTTCCCTGCCCCGTTCTGCCAACATTTTATTTTCGTGATCCTTTGTCTTTTGCATATGCTAAACACAAGGTACCATGGATCTGATAGTGTCACTCGCTTCTACCTACTCTTTCTTTTATCAATCGCTATGTGTGTCTCATTATCCTCCCCTTCCCTGAAGCACCCAACGCGAAGAGCACCCATTGAAATAAGTAAGAAATAATTGGAGGAGGCTGAACATATTCTAGGTCGCACAAAGAATTGTCAGTCAGAACAAGGTCCTGTGATGTTGTTGGAAGACGGCAAGAGAGCTGGTTGGACATATTTCAGGTAATGAGCCAGTTGCCTTTAAACCATTCAACGGGTTCAGAAAGCTGTGCGAAAATCATTTGCCAAGGTTAGTAAGCACACTTTCTTTGTTTTTTCTCCTTATCAAGGGAGAGGCACTCTTTAACCAGATTCTTACTCCTTTCCCTGCATTCATTCATTTTCTTTAACTTGAAGTGAAAATAATCAATTAAATTAATAAAGGATCATAGGTTTAAGTAAAGATAATCCTACATCTGGTTCAAAGATGTAAAAATAATAGATGACTTTATATGACAAATAATACATTTACATTTTTTAAATGAATAGGAACAATAGAAAGGCTTTTTTTTTTTTTAAACAACATTTTTAAAAAAAATTCCCTGCAAGAAGGGAAGCACATGAGAACAGCTGCACAAGGTAGCTTGGAGTGACAAGGAAAGTGAACATCCAGGGAGCCCGTGACTCATTTTCTCACTCTATTCTGTCTTTTTTAAATGAGAGCTTAAATGGAAAGGATACCAAGGAAGGAAGATTGGGGCTTTGTATTTATCACCCTCCATATATTTCAAATACATGTAGTTGTGCATATATTATCATTGTACATTTTTTTTTGAGAAAGGAAATAAAAATCCTCAATGCTTAGGTACATTATTTTTGTAAAGCTAGTAATTATAGAAAAAATTCTGGCAAGCTTAACTACTTTTCTTACCAACACACAACCCCTTTTTATACTGTCAACTTTGCATTTTGGCATGATGGACACACAAAAAAAGTTTTAGGCTATAAGTTGCTGCTTAGAATGAAAGTGCTGCTGTTACTGATATAATTTTCACTTAAACAATTCTTTCAGGAAATAAGTAACCATGGATTTGTAAAGGCACGTACAAACATTGTATGCTTTTGAATACTAATCTTTCTCATCGACAAATTATCTGTAACTTTCCTTCATTCCTACCCAATATAATAAAATTATTATGAAAAAAAATCATTTGATGTTAGGGTAAGTTTTGTTAATATATTCCAGTCCTAAAGAAAAAAGGAAAATAAGATTACTTTTGGGTACTTTTAAATCTGATACTAAGTATCTAATCAAGCATAGAAACCTTGGATAATCATTTCATCTTTGTGCATCAATTTCTTCATTGTTAACATGATAGTCACAATATTTTCTCCTTAAAACACCTCAAAGCAGAATTAAATCATGTCAAATAATTAGAAACAGGGCACACACAAAAAAACTCCAGAAAAATTATACAAAATTAAAAAAAAAACTAATGTTGATTCTTAAATCAAGTATTCTAGATAAAGTATTATATTTTAAAAACAATGTTGTGGCAAATCTGAATATTTCTTAGAGGATGGCAATGTCATAAGCAAAGATGGTATATGTGATTTTCCTTGTTATTAGGAAAATGTAAAATATTCAGAATGGTGAATAAATATATATAAATTAATTGGATTTGATTATGAGAATTCTCAGTTACAAAAGACAAAATAAATCTCTGTAATATTAGTTTAGAAAATTAGAACACCACAGAACATTAAAACTGAAATGTTTTAGAAACCAAAACCTGATGGTGTTCATGTCAACCATTGGACACCAGAATATTTGCAATCAGTAGTTATAGCAGCATAGGAACATTGGTTAAGTTCAGACATCAATTTTTCTCATACGATTTAGAATTTGGGGTTATATTTTAACCTGTGGGTTGTATTACCATGGCTGTTGCTTTTTCTTTTCATGCTTTCTTTTCTTCGAATTATGATTGTGTTGTTCCTTTACTTGATTGACCCCCTTCTCCCTCTTGACCTCTAGTCCAGTTTTTACTTTGGTCACTCAACATGTCTCCCCAGTGTAAGGGGGGCTCTTCCTGAACAAGTCACCCACCCAGCAGGGACTTCTCTCAGGTCCCCGATGAGCAGTTGAGCCTATTTGCTCCAATTCTCCTT